CGAGAAAGCTGACTGCTAAAATTGCTAGCACTATCGTTGCTTCTGATTGACTGGTCTATTTGAGAACCTTCCGAAAGTGCGGCTTGGGCGAAGAACACAACACGCACTAAGTTACTTGCTGGTACCTTTTCAATCAAGTATGCAGCACTTATGTCAGGAAGGTCATCCACAAGGTCAGCTTTCATTTTTCCAGCCAGTAACTCCTGCTCGGGCACTGATGTTAGCGTGACTGTAAACGAGTCGGCACTTTTTGCTTTTTCGAAATATTCAAGAAAGCACCATTGTTCGTGATTTCGAAACATCCGCGAACGTTCAAACGCACTGGTTTTCACTGTCAATCTTGACTCTATATCTGACTTCAAATTTGAGGACGCAGGTATCTCGAGCGAAGAATCAACGACGTGAACTACAGCACCGTGAATGTAATCTTTGTATAGCCCTCGCATAACCATGTCGTGTTCAGTACTTGTGGTGGAGCTAAGGATGGCTGAGAGTTCGTTCAAACTTGCTTTCATCTCACCTGTCGAAAGCACTTCATGAGCAGCTTCAATTCCGTCGCCGTGCGTAAATGCAGTGAAATTATTGGCGACAGTCTTCCACTTCCAATTGCGTAGCGAAGCTTGGCGATTTGTAAGACGGCGAAAGTCTACCTTGTCAGTAGCACCACGAGCGATCTGTAGCAATTGCGAGTTGCCAAGACGTACAAACGACTGGGTTGATAGCGGGTCTTGTTCAGTCTCTGAGTCAGCAAACGACATTTCTTTCGTAGTGCGCCAGGAGTCATGCCATGAACGCTCAATACCAAGACGTTTCAGGCCACTTGTAAAAGTTGTTAAGTTTGGGTTTGATCGGTCTAACCTTGAACCGAACATGGTAAATCAGGAAATGAGAGTTTAAAAAAGAAATTGGGGGCGAGTATAGACAACAGTGTGTCTTTCCAATGTTAGAGAGATACACATCTTACATATACACTGAAACTCTACCTCACTTTCTAGCCGGGCAAGAATATCATATGACATTGTGACATGTTGAGGTTTACGTAATATTGTTAAAGCTGAGAAGAGGTAAATCAGACTACAAGATCTTTATATAAAATAGAAATGTCAAGTGATCTTGTGGTGGCATGAAATGACTGTTTATACTGTATTGAGTACACAGATAAGATTCTTCACGCTCCATTCTTGGATAAAGTTTATTCAAGTCGAAGCGACGTTTTGTATGATTGCGGCCGTGGAAGAGAATATCGATACCGACGCAGATGAGCCATCGATTTAGATGCATGTGTAATGATCAACTGGTCGTATGATTTTTCGATATTGGAGATAGTGCGAGCTTTGAATCGTCTTCATGGTTAAGAAAAAGTCAGCACATCTTTGCTCCACTACATATCGCTAGGGTTGAGAGATCTTTCACTACAATGTGCTTTAAATAACAGTCGAATCACATGCTACGTTAAACTCAAATCTTTATTGAGCTGGTTGCGTCTTCAAGCTAATTAAATCAGCGTTAAATACTCTATGCAGACTTGTCATTGTATACTTCTAGCAGCTCATGCAACAAATCTTGTCGTTATAAGATGTATAAGATCTAATTACTCAATCTGCACACTCCACAATTTTTTCCCGGATGGCAATAATTCTGGTTAGAAGGCAATACACATGTATGCGGTTGGATACCATGCTATTAATGCTTACGAAAGGATTCTAATCTTAGGACACGTAATGTTGAGATGACACCGCTTGATAATGTCAATAAACAATATTACAGCTATATGTCTATTTCTTACATGCGTAAGCTCTGCATTTGTTCGCAGAGAATTAGCTCCAGATTGTACATCCATTCGACAAAGTAATTTGGTAAAAAATACGGCAGCGTTCGGACGAGAAAAACGTCAGAACATAATAAACTTTTTCACTTCGGATTTTACCATCAATCCGGGAGGAAGGGTATCTTTAATATAGCGAGCTTTGAAGCTGCTGTATATTGGTTTGGATCTGCCTTAAGTTTTTCTTCTTCAAGGATGTTCGGATTTTAAATTTCTTCAAAAACACACAGAAATCGTTAAATTAACGTGTTGATGGAACCTACCTTTGATGGTGTTTGTACCCACGACAATGCTCCAAGTAGAAGCTCTGAAGGACCAAAGTTAAGTACCATGATGAAGAGATTTGATTAGTACGGTACGTATGAGACTGGTGATACTTCAAGAAGGATCTGCTAACCCCACACATTGCAGTCATATTGAGTCTTATTGCTATAGTCTGCTGTGTATGATATCGTTCCAATTTTATCTATCTCTGAAATAGAACCGATCAAGTAAATCGTCTCAAATTTGAACAAAGAAGCTCGTAACGGCGCAGGTGACCCATCCTGGCCTTAACTTACGATGACTTTGAAAGACAAAGCTATCTTTACATGAGGTTTGCGGTATCCTCGTTCTACAAACGAAGCACATCTTTTTGAACCTGCATCATAGTATGGATTTCTATCCTTATTTCAGGTTTTCCTCTTCTTTCACTTCTTGTTAATGTGTGCAGAGTTAAATTCAGTGCATTTGACAGCGCGAACTTTAAGGGGCAATTTTATCCATTTGCGAAAATATACGGCAACACAGCCGAACTTGGTAGTTTTGATAGTCAATCGCACAATTGCGTAGTGAGAGAACTGTATCAATTACGAGAATGAACATGATATGATCGAGTACCTGTCGATAGGACAAGTACACCAGCTAAACAGGCAAATGCGGGTGGTCGGTCTGAAGTTAAAGCCAGTCGTCGGTCCCTCAACTGAAGGCGCCCAGCAGTTTTAAATTGCTCCGAAACCTTCACTTGTGGGGCTCTGCTTGACGTGCTCAACGAAACATTTCCCGAGTGAGGATCCGGTGGCATCAACCCTGAGACCGCTAATAAAGAGTATCCAAACCTCTAAAAGGCGGCTTGGGAAGATCTCTCTTTTTAAAAGAAGGCAGCTGAGATGGTTCGAATATAGTCATGCTTCGAACGAAGCAGCAGCGCATTTCTCTTGCGGCCTCCAAGCTGGAAACCACGTGCACAGCTGAGCATCAAATTCAATACTTTGGTAAAAAAGGCGCTACCAGCAGGAAAAGTATACAGCGACTGATACGCGAGCCG